TAAAGCTAGCACATTGCTATCACTGATGAAGGAAAGACTATGATTTACTGCATCACTTGTGGGACAATCTGATGCTATATCAAGGAAAAATCTTCAAAAATGCAAAACCATTAGAATTTTCAACACCAGATACATTCATACCTACACGTGAATTTTTATACTAAGCATAGTATAATGTTATTATTTTAGTAAGTATAATAATATAATAAAGTAACTGAGATTATAAATATAGGACTTGTTCCATTTCTGATACCTGGCTTCAGTTTCAGAGTAGGGTCTGAAGTCAGAGAACAAACAAGAGATTTAGATAAATGGGATCCAGAAAGAAGTCAGTGTTTTACAGATAAGAAAATGGAGGCCCAGACAAAAAAAAAAAACTCCCTATAATTACATAATCTCTCAATCAGAGCCAGGATCAGAACCTTGGTTCTCTTTCTGTGGTAGTTTATCTGTTAGAACACGAATTCTCTACTGACATGTACCACTATGACTTACAGTTCAGCAATATATCTTTTAAACTCTAATTTTCCTAGCAGAAAGGTCAGTAAGAACTATTATGATGATAAACTGCAAGAGAGCTACACAAAGCCAGATTAGACTATGAATCAGATCACTTATACTGCTAAAATGCCAGAATTCTGAACATGAACTTACAACATACTTTCTCATGAATTATTGTTTCTCTAAAAACAACTCATGCAAAATTAGTATTTTCTCTAGTTTATAGAAAAACCAACAATTCAGAAATAATCTGAGGTAATTAGTTAATTATGGAAATCTAGCAGAAAAAAATTTAAACCATAAAGCGAACAGTTGTTCAATTGTTCATAAAATATTCTGTGTCTCTATTACTTGGTTTAAAAAAACTTCTGAGTTCAGATACATTTTTAACTGAAGTATTAAAAATATTCTAATACCAAAAGATTCTAACTATACACTTATGTATTATCTACACCAATTTGTTTTTAGTTTTTAATGAAAGGAATCTTCTTCCTTGCTCCCATGTTATAGCAACCTCAATCCTTTACTTAAATAGATACGTCAAAATCCTCCTTGGTTTTCAAATATAAAAGCCACCATCGAAATCAAATATAGATTTATTTCATAACATCTTTCATAAAGCAAAACATGTCCTTAATCTTGGGAGGGAAGAGAAAAAAAAAACCTACAGAGGAACTTCACACAGACCAGGTACATGGACCTAAGTGAAACTGAAAATACTTGATTCACACAGAGCAATCAACCAAGTGTCAGACTGCTTACCTTCGTGCTGCATCAAAGTTGCTTTTCACAAAATCATTAAAAGGCCGCATATGTTCTTCTTTTGTGAAGAGAACATGATTGGCAATACTCTGTAGTATCTAAGCAGTCAAAAAAGTTTACAGATTTACTGTATGAAATCTATACATTAATAAATTCTTTAAAAGTACATAAATTTTCACATTGATGTTATTTCTACTGGCAGTTAGAATCAATTATTCCTTGTTCTATAAATTACTGTATCTGTTTCCATTTTTTTGCCAAATATAATTATATATACATATATTTATATACACAATATATATTAAAATTTAAATGCCTTTTATATTTAAAAATTCAGCAGTCTATATTTCCATCTCCATTTCAAAATTCCCAGAAAAATTACAAAGAAAACTGTCTTTGGGAGATAAAATATTTGATAAAATATTTTTCATGACAATATAGCCCATCAGTTACCTAACTAATGAATTACTTTGTAATATAAACAAAATAAAACAAAAACACGTAACTGAAAAATCATAGGGCATTTCAAAAGTGAATTCAAGGGAAAGTACTATATGAAAAATGGAAAAATTTTGTTGGAAGGGAAATTTAAGATAGCTAGATTATCAAAATAATTTACCTTTGACATTAACTTTAAGCCCCTTTCGATTCTAGGTGGTGGCTTTTTATCTAAAATCCCTGCTTCATATGGTGAGACAATGGCAGGATTGATAAATCTGAGGAACATGGCACTTCCTACTGCACCAATGCTGTTCTGAGGGAAACGCTGGCTAACCACCTAAAAACAAGGGGTTGAGAATTGAGTACAAGGTTTGAATTAAAATAAGGAAATGGGAACAAAGAGCTCATAGGACAAACTCTGCAAAAAATTTGAACCAATCAAGCCTCATAAATGATGTTTCTATTTTTTACTTTCTTCCCAGATATCAGAAAATAAAATTCACTCTTATTACTAATCTTATATCACTTTAAAGTACAATTGAGGTATCTAAGAGAGAAGAAAACCTCACAGATGACTTGTGTAGAAAAGACCTGAAAAAAAGATCTTATTTATCATCACTATTTACACTACAATCTGCCGAGTAATAAATGTAGACCCAATTTCACACAGAGATTACTTTAATAGACATGAGAGCATGACCCATTTTGTAAGGTGAAGGTGAGTTTTCAATAGCACACCTCTGAGATGACCCATACCTAATAATAAACATTTACATTTTGTTATATCTGTTAGAACTGAGTTTTGTTTTTTGAGAAAAATGCTTAACATATGCGAAACCAATTTTTTTCTTAGATTCCTACTAAAAGAAAACAAGTTACAGGTAATAGTATTGGTAGTTTCTTTTTTTCGCCAGTCTGCTTTATATATAATGACCTATTATTTAACCCATGGAGAAACAGAAATTCTTGGGATCCTAAAAGAAAAAATGATCCTACCAGAAGAGATGACCCATATGTCTACCATAGAAAATTCATAATTCTGCCAAGTCAAAAAAAAACTTTAAAGATTTAGGAAATTAATTTAGGTTGCCCATCCTGAAAAGCAACATGAAGCCAATATCAACAGTAGATTAAATGTCTCCTTAGAAAACATTCTAAATTAAAGATAAAGCAACCAGCCCATTAAAATGGAAGAAGTGTTAAATTGATTGGAAAATGTGTTGTGAAATTGGCTCCCATCTCTTCCCCATGCCTCCGCATTTTAGGCCAACATATGAAAACTACATTTTTCTGAAATTTACACTTTTCATATATCCTAAACACACACATTTGTTTTTAAAGAACACATATAATATTTAATCTCTATAACTATTCTTTCTTGGTGTGACTAATTGCTATTTAAATTAGTAGTCACTGCAACAATGAAGCTATACCATTCCATTCAATAATCTGAGATTTCAGAGGTAAAATTGTATTTCAAAAAATACTGGAGGGAGGGTGAGAAAATGGGATTTAAGTGCAGATCTCACATAACTCTACTTTTCTTCATGATCAATGATTCCAGACTAATTCTGGAAAAAGGGGTTATTTTACTTAATTCTGTATAATTTAGTGCTCCATGGTGTCCATATTTTAAATGTGTTCTTATCTACTGCCTATCATTTAAAAATAATTTTCTATCATTTCTGATAAAAAAAATGGTAAAAATATTTTAGAAAATGATTTTTTCAAGCTGAAACAAGTCTGTAAAGATGACATCTGAAGTACATTATAGGTAACATATTCTCACCTTCACTTTTACTATAGCTCAGGAAGCTTCAAGTTACAACTCTTCGGGGATTATTGTATAAAGAACAACCTTATACTTAAAATGAGGGGAAAGTGGGGGAGGTGGCTAAATATAGCTGTTGTAGCAGAAAGGCTTTAAAACTTAAATCCTGTTTATTTTTAGCTGAAAATCAATTTTATATTCAGAATAAAGAAAATTCAAGTGCCTTTATTATTCTAGTACAATATTTAACCTTTTGGGGAATAGGAATCTCTCTGAAGTCTGATAAAACGTTAGAAACATCAATGTATGCATTCATATTATAAAAATCCATCACATAATTTCAGAATGTTCATGGACAACCACTGATACTGAGTAGTTCCTTTAGAATTCTCAAAATTATAATCTTAAAAAAAATGAAATATTGATAATCCTATAAGAGCTTTAATTTAACTTTTCAGGAGTGAGTTAGCAAGAAGAAAAAGGATTAAAAACTGTTTTTTGTTTTGTTTTGTTTTTCTTTCTTTCTTTTTTCTTGATGGGGGCCTTGGTGGGGGAGTGCCAAAATTGAAGCCAGGGCATTGTGCTTGGTAAGCACACACTCTACCATTGATCCACACCCCCAAACCCAAAACTGCTTATATTTAATTTTAAGTGGGATTTTCTTTAGAAGAATTGCCAATGTATTCAGTTAAACCAATTAAAATCCTAAAAAAAAGTTTCTGAAAAAGAGAAAGCCATAGTTTGAACTTTTCAAAGAATCAGTTTGATTTCTAAAATACTAACTTATAAGTGTCTCATAAAAATCTATATATCAAGAGCTCTTTTAAAATTCACTTTTCTGAGAGTAGCCATTTACTGGTTTTCTCTAAGATAAAGATCTTTTAAATTATGACTTATACTGATGTCTAGTTTCATTTAATAGTACTCTCAGCTTCAGAATTCAAGGGAAATCTGAAAAAATTATTTCCCAAAATGAAAACAAACTTTTCCACATCTCCCAAAATAATTTCACATTAAAACTCAAAGTATCCATATGTTAGGAACAAACATTGTTTCATGTATCATTTAAGCATGCATCCCACTGATGGCATCAATATATTTTTAGAATTGACAAAACATAATGAACATTTATAAGAATGCTGTGTAACAAGTTTCACAAGTCAATTTATAAAAGGACTGCTTTTTTTCTTTCACCAGTAATGAACATCATTATAACTTTACCTGATTTACAACTCAGGTTTCCATTCTTTTTTTTAAAAAGCCATAAAAATTTAATCTGGATGAAAATGACATTTTACATAAAAGGTCAATATTGGTATAATCTGTGCTGAAAGCAGTTATCAGCCTATGTCCCCTTTACTTCCTTTGATAAAAACTAAATTACATAATGCAAATATGCTATAATAAGCTGCACATCAGAAGAGGATCACTACCTATACATGATTAATTACTGTAAATTCTCCCTGAGTTAGGAAGACAACTTCCAAAGTAAATATAATTATACACACTTGAATAAATAGTTATCTGTAATATGAGTGCACAGCTGGACACAAGAAGCCAGAGCCTTCTCTCTATATCGCAAATATTGGATAGACATATTCCAAAAGAAAATCAGTTTGCTCTTAAAAATGTTTGAATTCTATTAAGCATACAATTCCAAAATATGACATTTTAAATTTATAATGACTATCCTATTTTCATATTCTTGAATGTGCTCTAAAATATCTCAAAATAACAATTAGATTTCACTTGTTTCCTTGAGGACCTCATATCATCTGTGCTGAGAAATAAATTCCAAAACTTAGTGTTACCCAGAAACATTAAAAAAAATTTTTTTTAAATAACTGTAGAAAAAAACATTTCAAAGAACAATTCTAGACAAAAATCTCAATAAAGGAATGTTAGAAAGACTAGAAAACATGCACTAGAGAAACACAAAGTCTGAATTTTAATTCATGTGACACATTACACAATGGCATTAGTAAAACACTGAACAAGAGTGTTAGAAACAGTAAATTAATTTCAACAGTGGTGGTGTATATTATGTTAAGGCCACATGAGAATTAGAAAGCTGAAGCATTAGAAAAAAATGTTTTTGTTAAGCAAAACGGCCATCCAATTCAATCCTATTCACTAATAGCTGACCAAATTTTTTTTAACATACTTTAACATACTCAGAGAGAAAATCTGGAGCAGACATAATAAATGTTTCTAAATTTTAATTTAGCTCTGAATTTAAATTTAAAACAGAAATTGCAATGTAAAGCTTAGTGTAAATTTCATATGTAAAGCTAAAACAATGAATGAAAGATGAAACCAGATGATCACTATATTTTAAATTATTTTAAGAAAGCTTCCTGATTTTTAATTTGTTCTAATTAGTTATGCATGACAATGGAATACATTTTGCAAAAACTATTTGATGTTTAAAAGTTTTCTTTTCATCTTCTCTACAATCATTTGGATAATATGAACAAAGATGGGCCTCGTCCTAATAAGAGAAAGTCACACTGACAAATTTAAAATGAATCAAAGTTATATTTTGGACAAATTCCCCTTTACTGGAAGAAGATCATTATGACTATCATAATTTTCTTCTGTGAAATTAGGACAATTTCATAGAAGCAGGCAATATATTTTGTATCATGTTTGCCAAATGAAGTGTTTCTATACAGATATGGACTGTGTTTTCCTTTTATTCCAAAATTTTAATACTGATTTTCTCTGAGGTAAAAATAATGTTACTATTAGAATTTCTATAAACTAAGCACATACATCTAAATTCTGACCATTAACTATCTAGATAAAAATATAGAGAGTCTTAAAAAATTTTAGCAACTTTTAGACTAGGTTAGAAAATGATACTTTCTGATAAACCACGTGCCTAGCAAGATGTGTGAGTCCCTGGGTTCCACCCCCAGCACCTCACCCCCTATACCGCCCCCCCCAAGCCCCACCCCAAAATGAGCCAACATTTTCCCACCATATACTTCTAACAATTTAAATCTTTTGTTTCTAGGGAAAGAAAACAGTCACATGACCTGCAAAACAAAAAGCAAGAATGAAGATAGTCAGCATTTCCTAAAGCCTTGAAATTAAGTTGTTTTTTTTTTTTTTTTGCATTCATTTATAATTTAAAAAATTAGACCAAGGATATCCAATGCAACAAATGCCCACAAAATGCCTTTGGGATAAATCAAACCAAAGGAACACAGAGAATGTTTCAATGTAACTTAATTCCAGGGTTAATTGAAATGAAAGCTATTTTGTGCCAGAATTAGTAGAATGATTTTATAGTGAAGGTCAAATAGGCTGAAGTGAAGATGTTCTTAACAAACAGCAAAAGATTTTTGGTTTGCTTTGAAAGAAACAGCTAATAAAAAGTTCTCCAAACTTACTGATTTTTTGTTTTCCTTTTTTTCTTTTACTGTAGCTTTATTCAGTAGGGAGTGGCAAGTTGCCTACAGAACAGAGATGAGCACAAACAAGTCACAGCACCGACTACATACAGCAACAAAAACAATGTTGGCTTGTACATAAAATTACACAATAAAATGTAACACAAATGGAATTAACAAAAAAATTAGAAAATCAACTGAATTCTAAGGGATGAATTTTAATTCTCAATTTTTATTTTTATTACATTTTTAAGCCACACATTAAATCAACAGCAAGAAATGTTGAAACCCAATCATGTCTACTATTTCTGGCTATATGAATCACAGAAAAGCTCTCTTCAAGTGAATTTGAGAATATAAAATATTTGTATCTTAGTTAATTCCTAGCTTTTGATAACTTTCATATAAAATGATCATTGTAAGTAGACCACATTCTAAAAACTTTTGTGTTTACATGTTTTTTTTTCTGATTGTAAAATACTTCTCTGTGTATCCTTCAATTGACTTAGTTATTTTTCCAATATCTGGCATTTAATTAAAATCTTAACTAAAATAAAATAATAGCTAAAAATAGAAAAATTTGTTTTAGAGATTCTGACTTTAAAATCTTTCTTAAAAAGACTAGACTTTCAAAGCAGGCTACTTTCTAAAATGGTTCTTATCAGAGCATGTTACAATCTTTGCATTATTTTGGAGAAAAATATGTTATCAGTTGAACTAAGGGGAAAAGGCATTAATATTAAGGTTAAGAAACTACAGAGAAAAGTATACAATAAAACTGTAAGCCTGCCTAAAATTATTTACTTACTACAGCTGACCACTTATCAGAATGCTACCAACCCCCTCCACAAAAAAAGGCACTTATCAAAACCCACTGACACATAGTGGTTTCGCCTCTCAGAGTTCCTTTCCAGGCTGAAGAGTTCTTTCAAAATTAAAACACTTTTGACTGGACTTCACTAGGAAGAACAATTATTTTTTAAAAAAAATGTGTTTAAAAACCAAACAATATTCTGGGCACAGTGATGCATGCCTCTAACCCCAGCAATTTGGGACATTGAAGGAGGAGGGTATCAAATTGGAGACCAGCCTCAGCAACTTAAATGAAGCCCAATCTCAAAATAAAAACTATCAAGGGTTGCAGGAGTTTAGCTCAGTGGTTAACATGCCCCTGGGTTCAAACCCCAGGACCAAAAAAAAAGAAAAACCAAAAAAAAAAAAAAAAATTCTTTAATCCACCAATACATGGCTTCTTATTCCAGGCATTCAACACCATAACCAAAAACAACTTGAGCTTAAAATCTGTTTGACATCCATCTATCCATCCACTCAACTAGCTCTTGTGCACCTACCTGCATGTCAGATACTATTCTAAGCACTGGGAAGCTGTGTTAAAATAAAAAGACACACTTATCTCATAGAACTTTGGTTCAAACTTAACAATCTACACAAAACACTAGTAACCACACAAAAATTTTCAATTATGGTATATACCTATCATTTACAGTCTTAAAAAATTATGCTTAACTACATTAGTTTGGGGAAGCAGATTTATTGGCAAAAGATAACATTTATTTAGAATCATAATAGCTCCGTCTCAATGCTCTCACCACAACCTAAGAGAACATCCACTGGGGTGGATGTTCTTTTCTCTTTATTCCACAACTATTGAATGAAAAGTGGAAATAAAAACATGAAAAAAATAATTATACATCTGACACATGGTCACAGTTGACTATTCCTATTAACTGTAACACTGTCCACTAAGGGGGCATATATAATAACAGCTGGTTAAACATGATAACAAAAAAAAAAAGGCTTAAAGACGAACGTATGAATTCAAGCAAAAAGAACTAACAGAGAAGTTTATTAGCGAGCAATATACTCACTAGCTTTCAGTATTTCCCCAGTAGGTCCCCAAAGCAGATGTCATGTTTACTAAAGGAAAAAAAATATCAACTACTACCCCTCCCCAGCAGAAAATACAAGCACAAAGGTACCATTATGTTGCTGACAAAGTCAAAAGGGCAAGAAAAAGTCTAAAAGAGGAAAGATAAATAAAAACAAAAGAGCAAACGGAAGGGGAAAACTAGGTTAGAAGGAGACTCAATGAAAAAAATATGTTGAGACCAAAGCTTTTCTTTTCCTTTCTTTTTAACTAATGAATGTAAAATTCCTTATCAGCTTGATAAAAAGCAGAACCTTTTGTACAGCGTACCTTTGCTCTGCAGTACTCTACTCTCCGATACGATTATCTAATATTTTGAAGTAACACAATGACACATTTAAACATTTTTAAAGAGAATAATTTTATATGAAATTTTAACATAATTCCAAGCATTAATAAGGTAATAGACTATTTTATTATGCAATTCTCTATAAAGCACAATACATAGTATGTGATAAGCTACCAATCATCATCAATATTTTCACTATTTCCCTTCCTTCTTAACTATGAAAGCTAAGAATCTTGTTCACTTATATGGAAGGAATAGGAAAATTTAATTTCTTCATTAAGCTTTTCCTGAGTAGTTACTAAGTATCATGGTATTCTTTTACATTATAATATCATAGTCTCAAATTGATGTTCCAAAATGTTGATCATATAAAAATATTTTTCATGTAGGATGACAACCACATCATGAAATTCTACTAAAATCTTCTAGGATCATGTCATCAATCCCTAACCAGCTAAAGTCAAAGCCACTGTCATTTCAGAAACCCACTTGCATTCTGAAAAGAGTTAATAGTAGGCCAACCAAGAAGCTGATCCACACTATTTTTAATATGTGCTCGCTATTTCTCATCTACCTATTGTTAGAAACTGGAAAAAAAAATCACTGAATTAGATTTAAAGAGAAACCTAAATAAAGCTAAAACTTAAGAGAAAATGTTCACTGTATTAAGTTTCATGTTGTAACTAATCCATCCTCTAGCCTCAGATTTAAATAGCTGAATAAATTATATGGGGGTTTCTCCTAAGCTTCCTGAAGCTTTCTGAAAAAGGCAGTAAAGCAGCCAAGCGTGGTAGTATGTGCCTATAATCCAACAACGCAGGAAGCTGAGGCAAGAGGATCACAAGTTTGAGGCTAGCCTCAGCAACTCATCGAGAACTTATATCAAAATAAAAAATAAGAAAGAGCTGGGGATGTAGCTCAGTAGTATAGTACCCCTGGATTCAATCCCCAGTACTTCAAGAACAGAAAAGAAAAAGATGGGAAGGGGCAATAAAGTCATGATAAATTAAGAGAGACGTAAGTAGGTTTTATAATCTATTTGTGTTGTGGAAAAGTTTTCTTTTTGTAGATACAACAGACATATCTTTAAAAGTCACACAAAGCAGAGAAGCCCCAAATTTTTAGAATGGTGATTTCACTGATGCTGTTAATGTCTCTTAGCAACTGAAGCTGTGTGCTAAAAAAAAAACAAATGTCTGGGGATGACTCTGAAAAAAGAGAGAGAAAGGCATGAATTTTAGTAAATGTGTACGTTCTTTCCTTAACATCAACCTTACTCCAAACTTCCAACCCAATAACATTTCTCCTTCTTAGAAGGCAAATGTGGATTTGCAGGACCTCTCTTGGAATAAACAAATCATTTTAAAAACTGCATATGCAGTTCAAAAACACATAAGGAGCCATAAAAGAACACAGGCCTAATTCCCTCAACAAGAAAGGAATCCTGGACATCTGAACTCTGTAATATTACTTATAGTGATAACCTTAGAAAGTCTAACAACATGGTATGAACGATGATGCAATGTATCTTATAAATAGCAACCTATATAAACAGAGCTCTGTCAGTCTGTCTTGGGAAAATATGACACAAACCAATTATATCTTAATGGAGAAACCAAAATTACAGATCAAGAAATTCACAATGCAAAATGCAAGTGAACTGCCTGTTATGTAAAAGATCCTGAGAGTAACACAGGCAAAAGATAACCCACCTAAAATTCCATGTTTCATTTCAGCCACATGCATCATATCCAAAAGATTCAGTGAATTTTAAACTTGCTCCCAATGCAAGAAAAATTTAATATATTTAAATATTCTCTTAAAGTATTTCAAACATCTCTGAAGAAAAATGAAGGGTCATTCAAAGCCATTCCAACAACAATTCTTAATGTATTATTCATCCAATTGACTCAGTCTTGTATCAACCACCCACTATCAGCAACTACACTGTTTTTGGCAAAGTATTTTTCATTTAGCTTTGCATTAATAATGGCAATCTCTAACTTTAAGCACACCTGGTATAAACAGTGGCACACACTTCGAAGCTGAGGAGGAAATTCTGAGGAAGAACTAATGATGGCGTGAAAGAACTTTTCAGTCATCTGAAGGAGGTTCCGCTGATTTTCCTCAAGGCTTTCTGATGGTTCTAATCTACAAAAAAAAAGAAGAAGGTAAAATCAAAACATTTCTCTTTAAAACAAAATCACTCCTTGAAAGAGACTAAGGGATATTTAACGAAATACAATGTGTGGACTTTTGACCCTGATTTGAACAAATAACAAATTGGAAAAAAAGACAATTTGGGGACAACCAGAAAAAATTAACATAAAACTTTATTTTTAATTTTACTAGCTGTGGAATTACTGGTGGTGGCAGCAGCAGTGGTGGTGGTGGTAATAAATACATGTGTGTTTAAAGTCTACCTGTTGAAAACATTATTTCTGGGATTTGGTTTAAAAATATCTGAGCAAAAGAGAGGAGGGAAGGGGACAGACAAAACAAGCATAGTATTCTTTAAATTCACATTCCTCAACATTTATATGCTATATGAAAAATAACACATAGATAGGAATGATGTGGACTTTTAAGTCTCCATTAATGATAATAAAATGTAATCATCATCTTTCATTTTATATTATGTTTCTGAGATTTATCCTGTTGATTCATGAAGATCTAGTGCACTGTATGCCACTTTTTTCCTTGTGGTGTTAGGGATCAATCTCAGGGCATCAGGCATGCTAGGCAAGGACTTTACCATTGAGCTAAATTCCAGCCCTGCCTCTGTATATATCATGACTTATCTGTTCTCCTGTCAATGAATATCTGAATTTTTCACTTTTACAGAACCACTGCAATGAATATTCTTGTGCATACACAAATTTCTCAGCCAAAGCTTGGCACGGTGGTACATGCCTATAATCCCAGCAACTTTGGAGGTGGAAGCAGGAAGATCTCAAGTTCAAGCCCAGCCTCAGCAATTCAGCAAGGTCCCCAGCAACTTAGCAAAACCCTGTTCTCAAAATAAAAAATAAAAAGGGCTGGAAATGTAGTTCAGTAGGAAAAGGTTAAATTCTCATTACCGACACCGCCCCCCCCAAAAAAAACAGTAATGGTGGTGGTGGGGGGGGATGTGAGTGTTTCCTAGCTGGGCACTATAATCACATCCTTGTAATTCCAAGCTATTCAAGAAGCTAAGGAAGGAGGTTCATAAATTCAAGGCCAAACTTGACAATTTAGTGAGACACTGTCTCAAAATAAAAAATAAAAAGGGGCTAGGGAAATAGCTCATTGGAAGAGCATCCCTGAGTTCAATCCCCAGTGCACCGAAGGCGCTAGGGGCTATCGGGAGTATTATCTAGGGCAGCTAACTAAAAAAGAAATTTTCAAGTTAACTGAATAAATATATATTTATCTTTATTAGAAACTGATAGCTCCACAATCAGTACAATAGAGAATTCTTATTCTGCATTCTCACAAATGTATGTGGGTTGAGTATTCCCAAAATGCTTCGGAGCAGAAGTGTTAAGGACTTTTCTCTTAGACTTTACCTGTTGAGCATTCATAATCCAAAAGTCTAAAATGCCTGAAAATTTTTGACACCAACATGAAGGACAAAACTTTCAGAATTTAAACCATTTAAATTGTTTGGATTAAGGATGCTCAACCTGTGCCAATCTAGTACATAAGTAAAGGCACCTTATGTTTTTAACTTCTATTTCTATGATTCCTAGTAAAGTTAAAATGCTTCTGTAGACTTTGTGACCATTCAGGTTTCCCCTATTTTGAACTGCCTTTCATATCCAGTCTGACTGTTCTAATTATCAGATGTTCCTCTCATCTGGTACCTAAAACTTAATGTCTTAATCACGTCATTCAAGCTGTCTCTAATGTTACATTTTCTGGCTTTACTTCATTATTTCCTATATTCAATCAGTCTTGCTCTACCCCACCCCCCAGTCTGAGGATTGAACTCAGGAGCACTCGACCACCGAGCCACATCCCCAGCCCTATTTTGTATTTTTGTTTAGAGGCAGGTCTCAGTGAGTTGCTTAGTGCCTCGCTTTTTGCTGAGGCTGACTTTATCCTCCTGCCTCAGCCTCCTGAGCCACTGAAATTATAGGCATGCACCACTGGGCCTGGCTTAGTCTTGCTAATTCTTATCAGCATGACTTCTAAAGACCTGGTGTTATAATTAAAAAATGTTAAATTTTAGCTGTATCAGTTTTTGACCATTATGGAGTTGGTCACAATATTCAACTTTTCTGAGCCTCAGTTTGTCTTATCAGTAAAATAGAAATAATAATTCCTACATTAAGAGGTTTAAATTTTATCTAGTGGCTATCAAATGCACAAAGCTTTATTTGCATATAGCCTAATCCAAACTCTCAAAATACATTCTTTATAAAACTCACATCTATTTTGTTTTTGTCTCATCTCCACCACTAAAATAAATTCCTTGAAGGAAGTTTCATCTTTGTCATCTTAAAGACTAGCACACTACCTTACCAACAAGAACTAATACTTGTTTTCAATATCTTAAACAGCAATTTTCTGTTTCAAAACTGACATTATATAAATGCTTGTGACATTCCAGTTAACATTCCACATTCCTTGCAGCTACCTGTACAGTGTAGCATATAAGCTCAATTAAGACTTTAAAAATTAAAATGGGCCAGGTGCAGTAGTGCATGCCTGTAATCCGAGTGGTTCAGGAGGCTGAGGTGGGAGGACTGCTACTTCAAAGCCAGACTCAGCAATGATGAGGTGCTAAGCAATTCAGTGAGACCCTGTCTCTAAATAAAATATGAAATGGGGCTGGGGATGTGGCCGAGTGGCCCCGAGTTCAATCCCAGGTACCCTGTCCAAATAAATAAATAGATAAATAAATAAAAATTAAAAAGTAACATGGACTGCAAAGTAAGCAAGATTTCATGAAATAAGTGAGGTCTGAAAGGACAGAATTTGCATAAACAGAAAAATTAAGAGTACTTCAGAAAGAGGAAGCAAGTGGGACAGGTAGTCAGTTCAATCTAATAAACATTTATTACATACACATCTATAATTTGCCATCTTAGTGCCAGATGTTGAGGATTCAACAATAACTGGTCTTTGTCCTTTTCAATGAGGGGAAAGACACATATACTAGGTATTATATGACAAGTAATGAACATAACTCAAGGATATTATTATATTGTGATAAATATATAATTGGTCTCTGTACTTGTTCTTGGTACACAGGCCCTAAAACCCTTGGAATCTCCAGAGTTATACAACTTTCTTTTGTATGGTAATAAGATGACTGGTGGCTGGTAGACAGCTTCAGGATAAAAACTGGTCACCAGAAAGACCATAGTACAATAAAAGATTTGAACTTTCAGTCCTACCCTCCAACATCTGAGAAGGGGAAAGGAGCTGAAAGTTGAACTTAACACTAATAGCCAATGATTCAGTCAATCATGCCTTCTTAATAAAGTCTCCATAAAAATCCCAAAAGTTGAAACAATTTCCAGACTTCTGAACACATAGAGGTCCCACATAGAACACCTGAGGACAGGACACAAACTACAACTTTCCCTCCTACTCTATACCCCTCCTACTCTATGCATTTCTTCCATTTGGCTGTTCAGTATATCTTCTGTACTATCCTTTAAAATAAATAGGTAAATGTAAGTAAAGTATTTCCAAGAGTTCTGTAAGTCATTCTAGCAAATTAATTCAGAGAAGAGAGTTATGGGAACCCCAATTAAAATAAGCAGTTACTCCAAAGCACTGGTTACATCCTGGAGCTTCTGACTACCATCTCAAATGCAAGTAATTTTATGGGACTGAGCCCTTAATCTGTGGGATCTAACATATGTCCAGGTAGATAGTGTCAGAATTGAATCATACATCCAGCTGATAACTGCTCGAGAATTATCTGAGATGGGGGTGTCTACTGCACATCTGGACACTAGATTGAGTGTTGAATATAATATAGAGAAAAAAAGTTTGCTATTGTTTGAGTTACAGATAGAAAAGACAAAATAGCAAAGTGGAGAAACACATGATTAATCCATTATGGATGGAGGTTGTTAGGCTGCTAGAGAAAAACACTGGACTTGGAATATGTAAATGACCAAAAAGAGACTGGTAATAAACAGAGAGAACTATAAAAAGCTATAAGAGTAATTCAAATCTTAGATAGGGAGGACCTGGGAGTTTGGGGTATGAAGAAGATTAACAATTTATTTAAAAAGATGCAAAGAGAATCCTTGAAAACTCTTGTGTACTCTGTGCAAAGATTTTTCTGAGTCAGCCTCACAGCAGGGGTACTGCAGTCTATTTTAGGTGTTCCTCTAACACAACACCTTCTAGCTGTATCAGATAGACCCCTGTTACAAAACCACAGTGCCCTCTTGCTCCCACTTGCCAATGATAATTTGTTGGCTATTCCACTAATTCCAATCTGCAATGAAGCTTTGTGTTCAAGTAAAATTTAAGCGTTCATATATATGAAACTTTTTCTATTGTTGTCCTACTGTCAGTTTCTCTTGATTTCTGCTCTATTTTTTTTTATCCCTTTCCTTCTGCTTACTTTAGGTTTATACTGTGTTTACTCTTAATTTTTTTAAGAGCAGAGTTCAGATTACTGATTTAAGATCTTTCTTTGTTTCTTATATACATCTAATGCCATAACTTTCTTAAGCACTTATTCCTATAAATTGTGGGAAGATGTATTTTCATTTTCATTTAGTTTTCTTTCCCTACCTGGTGTTTCAGTTTGGGAAGTTTCTATTGATATATCTTCAGGTTCACTTCTTTCCTCAGCTGAGTCTAGTCTACGGACCAGCTCATCAAAGGTTATTTCTCATTTTTCTGAGTTTTCTGAGTATATGTTACAGAATCATACTGTTCATGTAGTCACATATATACATAAAGTACTGTCTGTTTTATTCTACTATCTTTCCTATCTCCTTCCTTATTAATTTGATAATTCATCTGTAGATTCTCTTGGATTCTCTATTTATAGTCAGTGTATCTCTAAATTGTGAAAATTTTGTCTTTTGCTTTTAAGCCTTATATGGCTACAGTCTTTCCCTTGTTGTAATGTATTGGATAGAACAGAACTAGTATTGTATAGAATAGCAATTATTTCCAGCATTTTCTTTTGA